ACTGTTGAATGATTATTGTATTACACACACCCCACACACACACACACACACACACACACACACACACACACAAAGGTTCTTTTCGTTAAGATTGATAATATTGAAATTATTATAAGTATCTATTTACAAGAATACGAACACATATTTAAACCGTAATATAAGTATTTCATTAATATTTTTCACGTATAAAAAAATATTTTATAAAATTTGTGTTTTACTTAAGATTTTTATACCAAATTAATATAACACAATAAAATAAATAATTAATATATAAAATAAAAAATGAAAATTGTTTTAATAAATCTAATACACGACCATTTGTATTATTAAGATAAAATTATTCAAGAATATACTTCTGAAAATAAATTTTTGCAGAATATCTCGCATTCGCATTCTGACAGCTTGACTATCAGACTGCTTTCAATTCTATTGAATGAAATGTGAATAATGGAATATCCATCTATGCTTCACAATTGAATAAAATTTTAGACAAATTGATAATCCAAAAAAGATATAAATATTATGTTAATTTGATTGCAACATGTATTTGTGTTATCAAACGAATTTTGCAATATATTATAATGTCATATATCATATATACGTGTGTATTATTGGATACATAATTGTTGTTACATATTTCTATTATTTAACTTTTAATCGATTTTCTTGTGGAAATATCAGGAGAGCTTATGTCGCAAGTTTTCAATTTTAAAGCAAGATTAAATTTTAACAACTAAGCAACATCTTATTAAATCTTGACAACATGTTAGAATCAAGTTCTAATTTCAAATTGTAAGTCTATTGGAAGAAAGCAGAGTTTTCTCAAAAGTAAGTAAGAAATAAGAACTCTATGAAAAAAGATAACTGAAATATAAAAATTATTGATGTTTCGATATTTTAACTAAAAAAATCTCGAATATAAATAAAAAAAGATTATTAATATTAATGCGATAAATACAAAAATATTCTTTATAAATGTAAATATAATTCATAATTTTTGCATGTTATGAATAAATTTATGACATGCGTGTATGAACAATTTATAATGTAATATCAAATATTCTAATAAATAAAACAATTTTCTAATCGTGTAGAAACATTTATATCATTCATAATTCATATCTCTATAAACAATGTTAACTTATATATATAAATCTATAATATTCTTCTATGAGCACCTGCTTATAACTTTATCTGCTCTGCTTTGTTTTTCTCATTAAAGCATTAATTTATTTTAAGATTTGACTTTAATCCGTGTGATCGTTCGCAGCTCGTCCCTTAATTTATTATATTTTAACGTTCTGTTCCGGATTCTATTCTTCAATTTACATTCTTATCTATTTTTTTTTTTTTACTATTCTTTTGACTTCAACTTATGACTTTCATCATGTTGTACTCATGCTGTGATACTGAGTTAAGCCACCAATTTACTTGTTTGCTATCTCGCAACTTTATGTATAAAAGTACGTTGCTGTGCCAGCCATCGCATTATAATTATGTATTCATTCTATCTCAGACTTTAACCACCCGTGTTATGCAACCGTCGTGGTCAATGTATTCTGGATACAACTTATTTTCTAAGACTTCTCACTCACGTCGTGTACACAGACTGAGAAAAAGCGGAGGAATGTTCTCTTTTATTTCTCGAATATTCTGAGAATGGCTCAAATGTAACACGAAACGTAATACATACAATTCCACTGTTTATGCAACTATTAAATATGTATTGTTTAAGTTGAAATAATCGCGTATTGTTTTTACCGCGCTCCTATTATAAGTCCAGTTTTCCTTACCTCTTTTATTTTTAATTTAGTCCGTTAGATAATAAATCTTACGCGAAAATACATCTCCTTTTTGCTAAATATAAAAAGCGACTGCTACAAAACTCCGACGTGAAAAAAAAACGTGCATTATTACGTGCGCCATTAAACAAGGATATTTAACCCCCTGTCGGAGGGGGTGAGGAAGAAAAAAAAGAAGCGGTTAACAAGCGAGCCTCGAAGTTCCAAGCGCGCCGTATCTTTTATCATAATAGCGCCGGGCGAAAAGTCCAATATGAAAATTTCCGACTCCATCTCGTTCCCTTATTAATTAGCAATTTACTTCCCGCTTACGATCCCACGAACCTGCTCCTTCCCTGCCCCCATCCCCTCCTCCCCATCCCTCTTCCGTCCTTCTTTATCCACCTCTGTCCTTTTCTCCAGATTCGACATTAATTATGCAAGAATTTCTTCTGTCGAATCTCTTCTTGGGAAAGGAGCGTGCCGGTCCCCCGCCTACGAAAGGAGAATTCATTGTCTACGGAACACGCGCCGACTTTCCTCGCGAAATTCAAATTGAATGATCCGACTTTGTGGCCGGGCGCGTAAAGTTTCCGCGGTACGTGCGCGAATTTTCGTTCCTCTATTCGCTCGGAGGAAAACTCCAGGCCGCTTGACTGGCTGACTGGCTGGCGCGGCCTCCCCGGGCGTCGTTGCGAAATCAAATCGATGGAGCGTCCGTCAATATCGAGTTAACGTCGATTATAATTGTAGACGTGGACGAGGGAAAGAGAGAGAGCGGACCGCGTTAATTGCTTCGTGCGGACACCGCGCGACGAAAGGTGCCGTTTCAATTTTTCAATGCGCGAGCCCCGCTCTACTTTTTCCGGTGTTAACGTGTTTTTGCGAGAGCTTCATTTCACGGAAAGTAGAGTTTGCTCCGAGCGGAATGTTTTCCAACGTTAGATTTTCAGCGGAAGAGGCGCAATGTAAAAATACAATAGACACATATGTATATCCCGTAAAGTTGACGTAAAATCGCAGGGAGATTGATTTTTTGTGAGAACATAAATAGAAGATACGAAATATAAATTTGTTCTCGCGTGCACGAGGCTCTATTTAAAAAAAATTAAATTGTTCGAAAAATCCGTAAAAAAGTAATATCGCCTCTCTTTTCCAACCTCGCATATTCTTCTCACAAGAACCTTATGTCATACTTCGCCAAGTTAGAAGGATCATATCGCCTCTCATGCTATACTTCATTTTTCTCTTCAGAATTCTTATAAAGGAAAAAAAATGAGGAAAAATTAGAATAAAATACTAGACTAATTTCCAGTTCACTAGAAATAATAACGAAAAAATTAATTTACAAAAAATATATGTAAACAAATAAAAATACAATTACAGTTTTAATCTTTAAAAAACTAAATTATTTCTTGTTATTTGAAATATATAGTCTTTTATATCGAAAAAGTATTAAAAACACATTTGAACGTAGCTTCCTGAGAAACATTAGAATTTTAAAATATATTTTGACAGTTTTTCGTATATAATTTTCAATTAAAGTAAAAAATCAACATTTTTATGCTTTTTATCTGCCATTTTATTGCGATTATATTATATCTCAATTTATTTCCAAATTCAAAACGAGCTAAAAAACAAGTCACCACCAGTAGAAAATCACACTTTATGGCATATCAAACACATATGTATAATGTATAACTCATATATGTATATATGAATTATATATCATATATATATGTATATATATTCGTATCCTACTAATTAGGAAACTTTCTTCTCTCTGTCTGATGAAATTTTCAGGTCCATATCAAAAGGTTTCCATATCAAAATATCCCCCGGCCGTTCAAAAGTTAATGATGTTGCATTTTCAGTGTGGTATCTGCATTATTGTTTTCAGAAGCGAAAATCCGGTTCGTCTTGGCGAATGGGTCGAAGTTCGGGTCTCTAGGACAGGTCGTTTGGCATCCCTAGAAGTTGAGGACGACCCGTCCCAGGAAATCCTGGCGCCCGGAGCGTTCACGCAATTATCCTTACCGCTGAACCTCTATTTAGGCGGCGCGCCGTCCTCCGACATGTACTCGCCGAAGATGAAAACTACGGCCAGCTTCGTCGGCTGCATTCAGACGATCGTGCTGAATAATCGCGAGGTAAGAACACCGGGATTATACAGGCTGCTCCGAAGTTGCGCGCTAGATAATTCTACCGTCGGAATGCCTTCGGAGTTTGAGCCTCACTGGTATGGTAGATAAGATGTTGAAACTCCCACTTGAATCACTTTAAATCTCTATCATTGTTATTCTGGCATTTCTAAAAATAGGCCGAGATGAATGTAGACGTGAGAAGCAAACATAACGTATAATTACAAGTTCAGGAAATCACTAGTAATAAGGCGAGCAAATAAATATAATAGTAATAATTTAATATAAGATTTAAATTTAGATAAAGTATTTAATTTAATTAAGCTAAACTCCAAAGTTGAACTCGTAAAAAGCTCTCCAACCTCGCTTTTCAGAAATATTCAGATCACATCTTTAACTGGAAAAAAAAAACTGGTTGAAAACTGGTCGAAACGCACGACTCTGAATTTTTCATCTCTTTAATAGCTTGTTATATGCGAGAGATGAAAAAGAGAAGCAATCAAAAGTTCATCATTTTTTGAATTGTGTGAAGATTAAATCTTTTTTTTTAATAGAAATATTTCACCTAATACAATCAAATTTTGCTTTCTTTCCCGTTTATTATTTTGACCAAATATCATTATTGCCGTTTATATTATTATTACTGTTGTATCTGTAACTATTACAATTTTTCGCCGTAGGTGGGTATCCTAGCCGAAGCGTTAGGCGGGGTGAACGTAGGAAATTGCGGGCACGCGTGCGAGGCCAGGCCGTGCGGCGACGCGGAATGTCGGCCTCTTCGCGAGCGGTTTACCTGCCGGTGCCGTCCAGGGGTACCGCACCCTTGTCCCGCACCGGACGATTATACGCCGCTGGTCCCGCCACCGGCGAGAGCCAGCAGCAACGCCGTTACGTCCGTGAGATACGAGAGGGCTGTGCCCAGCTTCACCGGCAGCGAAAGCTACCTACATTACAACGACGCCGATACGATGAAAAGGTACTCAAAAATAATGAGTGGCATATTTCAATAGCAAGAAGTTCTGATGTACCCACACTCCAAATCCAAGTGTGTAAATCTGTAGTCACTTTTTACGCATTTATACGCGTGTTACATTTTATCTGTGTTTTACAGTTAAATGCATATTTTTTAGACGCTTACACATATTATTGTAAAATTAAGCGTGTGAAAATATGCATTTAACTGTGTAAAACACAGATAAAATAAATAAAAATATTCACACGCGTATAAATGCGTAAAAAGTAACTACAGATTTACACACTTGGATTTGGAGTGCATGTACATCGAATATCTTTAAACAAAGTCACGAATTTTAGAATTACATTACAATTATTCTCTATCTTTTCGAAATCTCGAATAAATTTCGAAGTAAATAGACAGTTTTTTTTTTTCTTTAAAAGTCGCTTCCTGTTTTCGCGATATATTTGCCGTCACGTTTAAAATTATTTATGATATACGCTTCTCTGCACGACACTCTCTGCACGAACGTATTTACTCGTCAACTGACACATTTTCCACCCTCGTGATTTCGTGAAGTACATTGGCGATCCGTTTTTTTTGTGATTTAAAAATCCTGTTGATTCGTTTATTAACACTTTATTTATGCGAGCGTGAAATAATCGGTAGCACGCAAAAGTTCGGTAAATGTCAAAGCGACATGTCGTCGGCGTTTGAAAAGCGAGTGGGGCGGTAAACAGCGTTACACGTTGCACTACACAATCGCTCCTTGACCTGATTTAATAGCGCTGCGTTTAGTTTATCGAGCGTTCGCATCACGCACAAGTGACAAGTGAGCGATCTGAAGAAAAATAATTTTTATTTCGTCAGCTAACTTTCTTTAACTTACGTATAATGGTTGCCTAATTATTTTGACAAGATGAAACTTTTCAACGCGGTGCTTTAACAGCGTCACTCGTGTAACGTTACTGCAAAGCGTTTGTATGTCAATATATGTGCTGAAATAAATTAAAATAAATTAAAATAATGAATGGTTGCTAATAGTTCTTATTGCAAAATTGAATTATTTCTCTTCAAATTGAGATCTTTCCTCACATTGTGCGTTGTCGCATTAATCAATTCTTTTTTTTTTTTGCTTTGCTTTCCCATTAAAACGTTCTTGTTGCTGTTTGCAGGATAATCAGCTATAGGGTAGACATCAATATGAGATTCCGCGCCAGCAGCAGCAGCGGCCTACTGCTGTGGAGCGGCCGCCAGTCGGATCCTCAAGAACAAAGGGACGAGAACGACGACTTCCTCGCCCTCGGCCTGGATCACGGTTATCTCACTCTCGCGTATAATTTGGGTTCCGGGGAAGCCGTGCTGCGGTATAATCTCACGCGATTGGATGACGATCTGTGGCATCGTATAAGGGCTGTTAGGTAAGAACAAACGCTTTATGTGCTTCGTTACCCAATCCTCCCTTCCGCTTGCATGCCTATTTTCATAATATTTATTTATTTATTTATTTAACACGTTGATCAATAAAGGGAGGAGACACTAATAAATGCGTGACAATATTCTAAAATTCTTAAATTTACTAATTAATTATTATTTTTACAATTATTTGACGTTTTATTAATAAAAATATGCATATTTAGATGATCTTGATTTCATCACGAATTTAGTTTATTGAAAAGCGGTTAATGTTACAAATTAGAAAGCTATGACAATCTAGGAAGATTCGATTTTAATTTTAAAAAATGGACATAAATTCGTTAAAAAATTGTTAGTCAAGAAATATGCAGTTTCCATGTACGTATGCAAGTAAAATATTGTGTGCAAATGTTGTTCTATTTCCAATTTTCCATATAGTCCGTGTGGCTTGAGGCTACCATTTAAAATGGTACTATTTCCATGAAATTTCATGAAGGAAGAGAATATTTTTATAAACATTCATGTATTAATCTGCACCGTTCTATATTTTACCAAAAACGAATAAAAAATACCTGTGTCCACCTTTTTCCAAAGCAAATCGCTTTTTATTAAAACCGGAGAAAAGAAAAATGTTTATATTCGAAATGGGTCATAGAGCAATGAATAACATTGACTTTTTCTAGAAACGAACAATGGGCATCTCTCGTGGTAGATAGCGGTACCGGTGTCTCAGCATCTTCTCCGGGACAATTGAGACAACTGAACACCGATACCGGTCTTTACGTTGGTGAGTAATCAAATTTTATGTCATTACTATCTCATAGATTTAAATTTATTTGAAATCCTAAAATATGAACTGCTGGTGGCAATATTTCTCTCTCTCTCATTCTCCATGGCTTTACAAAATTCTCAATCCTCATAGAGAATAAAAAAGATGTTAATTGATGTGGTTAATCGTTTTAAAGATCCTTAATAAAAATATGCTTTAGTAATTGTAATATTTTTTACAAATGGAATAAAAAGTCACGCTTGCATTTTTACGGATTAAGCTGCACATCTTTCTACGGGAAAGCAAATCTTTTCACGGAGATTCAATTTGCTCCGTAGGCGGTGCACCGGATATCGTGAGGACAACGGGGGGCAGGTACACGAAGGGCATCGTGGGTTGCATCAGCGACCTCGTGCTGGACTCGGACTTTTCCGTTGCTTTGTCGTCGCCCGCACAGGCAACCAACACACACTCATGCATCCCCTGAAATAGAGATATCCGTGCCGTCCGACGTCAGGTGGTGTTGTCGGGTCCATCCCGAAGCTAGGATATGAAAATTTAAGGATAACGTATCGTACCGCGGCGAAATAGCCGCGGCAGATAGTGCTCCGCGAAAGTGCATCTGTGTCTCTCGTGCATCCACGTGCGGCCGCGTGTAATACCCTACACGCGGCTCATCATTTTTGTACAGACTCAACCCTTCCACAGGTGGAACTCTCGAGAAGATGGAGATCGAGTGGGTCGGCAACCGACCATCGTCGCGCGCGGCCATCGACTGGTAGGCGGCTTTACTGTAAATATTAGGGCGATCCGAGATACCGCGGAAATATCTATCACTTGCCTCGCGGCATTGATCCTTGGCGCTGCGACTTCCTGTTCGAGCCTTATGCTCGGCCCGGTCTTAGAAGATTCGATCGAAGGCATCGTGTAAACGACTTTTTCGACGGCAAAGTTATGAGGGATTGCGAAAAAAATCACGAAAAATGATGTTCCCTTCCTCATAAAGTCGCTAAATTATTGCAATCGTTCATCATTGTAGGCATTGCATTGTCTTATTTATCCGAAAGTTACAATACTCCACTTTATCGTGCTTCTCGAGAACTAAGTTCATTATAAAAGAAGTTTTTGGGTACAACTGCAGTTTGTATAATTTCTAAAAATCTTTTCAAAAAGAATGAACAAAAAATGATAATTAAAATTAAATATATAACTGAGAAATATTAAATGTGCAATGAAAATCTTAAAGTAGAACCATTTATTTTTCACAAAAATCTCGCTGCTGTAAGGAGAAAGTTAATGTAATCGTGCATGACAAAATAATATACTTTGACGTGCAATTAAATTAAACAAGTACAGCAGCTTTTCTACTTCCATTCTTCGTAAGTAATTATTCATTAAGTTAAAAAAAATTTATCTTGCTTCGCTCCACAGTTGGAGTACTTTTCAACTTATTTTTTCGTCTAATTAAGACTTAAGTACTGAAGATGCTATTAAAATCTGAACGGGAGAGTGCGAACCAAACATAAATTGCACGACGAAAATAAAGAAACTTGTTTGTTATACGACCTTTAATATAATTTATTAATTAAGTGGAATTAATTATTGTTGTATGATGTCCGTGCTATTTTTCGCGCAAAAGTTGCGAAAGAACATCTTTCTTATTATTGTAAAATTTACAGTATGCCTATTTTTACAGAATTACAGTAAAATCGATCATAGTTATCTTGCGGAGGCAAATTTAAATTAAATAAAGATTATTCAAATTAAACGAAAATTCTCTGCAATTTTTGCAATCGTTTCCTGAAAAATTAACATTCGTGCCGCGGTAAATTATAGCCTTTCGCTCATGTCTGTTCTTAAATTGAGTCGAGGGATAATTTAAAACGGAATGGATTAAATTAAAATTGGCAGCAATTACGTTTCGCACGGGTTAGGAAAAGTGAAACGCAAATCAAACTAAAACTTCCACCCGACGCCCATAATTAAACCACCATACTATTAACAATTTCAACTTTGCCCCATATCTGGATATTAATAGTTGCCTCTCTCGAAAATTATTTCGTAATTAAATTCGCATAAATTAGATTACGGTTGTAATGAAACTTATAATAATAACAATGTCTATATCGCGGCGATAGTGGAATCAATGAAGCAGCGAGAGTGCTTCATCAGTTTAACACTCTACAAAATACAATTTCATCCGAGAATGAATCCTGTAACAACTGTTTACAAACGTAATTTAAGTTACGTGAGCGTGATATGAGAGAGGATCAGGATTCGCGAGAATGTTGCGTAGAATCCGAAAAAAAAAAGAAATGGAAGTCGTCGCACCAGGATAATGCCCGGCCGGATATAAAATTTGACGAAGCGCGTCTCAAAGACGGCTTTCGGCCTAATAAGATAAAAAGTATGTAGAAAAAGCAACCCCTCCGCGTCAATTTTGATTATTCCCTCCGACCGGATGTTATCTTCGACACGAGGTGTCATTACCTTCGATCTTTACGAGTTCAAATTAAACACTCATCAAAAAATTCGGAGCGTGTTTGGATCGACGCTTGATAAAAAAATCTAAATTAAAGGAAAATTCAAATAGAGAATTTAAAAAAAGAGGTGCGAGAGAAAAATGAAAATACTGCTTGACAAATAAAAATTTCATCTCGCGGAGTTAATAACATTAATTACTTTAATTGTACTGTAATGTACCATGTTTATTATTCATTGCTGCTGTACGCTGTTTTAATTCTTTCCAAATGACTTTTGTTTCTATCTCTTTTAAATGCTTTTTTAAAAATTTTAATAGCACTATAATAATTTTAATACACGTTTTAAAAATAAAAAATGGTAAATAAAATATTCTATATGCAATATATTTTTTAATAAATTATATTCTTGATAAATGTGTAAAATTTACTTTAAAAAATGCTGTTAGCAAAATAATATTCCATAATAAATACTTTGCTTAAAACTTCACTACTTAAGAATGACGTGGTATCACTGTTGTAATGGGAAAACTACTTATCTAGCGCCGATCCAGACAGTGTGTGCTCGCTGCTCCTACGAATCATTGCGCATCGCAACTTTTCTAATGGTCTTAGGATTTATCACGATCTTTTTCTAGGAGCTAAGTCACAAGCGCAGCTATGAGCACGAGTTTTAGTTCCACGACGATATCGAGGTTAAATATTGTGATCGATACGAGTAAACTACTAATAAAAATAAGAGAGAGAGCTATGCCATGGACCAAACACCAACACTTGTATCACCGTCTATTCCAACGAGAATATATAATACGTAAAATGCAACTTCAGAATGCAAAGTGCATATCCTGATGACAAAATGCGGGACTCGCGTCCTTCATAAGTAATCTCATCCGGTGTGTGTTGGGCAAACTTTGCAAATGATTTATGCAATATATATATGAATCTTTAGCCATTTCGTCCGTATAAGGCGCCATATCTCAAAGATATTTTAAGAGTATAATTACAGCAATATCTTTGCAAGAATTTGCCGTTTTATGTTAGTGATAAGGCAATTTTTTCTTCATTATAATTAAACAGCAAAGACAACTGAAATAATTGTTGGCACCTTTGCATATCGTGAGAAATATATATTTAAATTGAATTAAACGTAAAGAAGCAAAGAAGCAAAAGCCACAACTAAGTTGCTTAATTAGTCATAATTCTATATGTATACGAAGTATTTGCTTTTCATGACTTTGAGCGATGAAAGTAACAAATTATCATTTTAAATATAGGATTATTCAGCAACTTAGCTAATGTCATTTCTCACTTAGTAATAATTAATTTAATATTAATTGACATTCAAGATTTTGTTCAACGAAGGAAAGCGAGGAAAACGAGAGGATAACACTTTTACATATACGTATAAAAAAAAAGAACAAATGATATCTTTATTATGCAGATCGTCGCATATTTTTTTATCTTCATAGAGCGTTTCACTCAATCCTATGAACACAATTTAGCACTACCGGTCGGAAAATCCCAGGTCAATACGTATACACATCCTATCTCACGAGGAAAGAGAAAAAAAAAGTGAGACGGAAATGAAACGGAAAGAAATGAGGTGGCATAACGTAAGGCATAGAGTAATCGATGAACTTCACTTTGTCATCGCACGAAAATGATTTAAAAAATGACCTACTCAAACACACACATCATAAAAGCAATCGGCTGTAGTCAATTTTGTACGGATGTTATTTTCGGGACTAAATATAATGATATATCAAAGATGGGTGGTAGTCGGTAGTAGAAAAATGTAATAATAATATACGATTTAACTGATTGTACGTCGAGAATTTAGCAAAGTAATTATCGTTCTCATTAATCCTCTCACGTTTGAACGTGAAGAAAAATCAAAGCTTCAATTAGCAAGAGGAGAGTCCTTTGGATTTATTATCGTTTCACGTGTGAAATAATTTTAGATCTTTCTTAATAATGTGTACTATTATTTACTTATTTACTAGTTGAAATAAGAAGTGTTTAGTGTGTTTCAGTTTTTCAAATAGAAATTAGTTAAATTATTTTAAAAAAATAGGCGTTGAACGACTTAATATATGTTCAATGTCTTAATTAAAAATATTTTTTTTTCACGCATGGAACGTGTATAACGCGTGGGAGGATTAAAGGCACTTTTTCTAGTGTAATTCAATGTACAATTTCGCGTAAGTATTCATTGAGTGACTTGAGGCTTTTGTGTTACGTACGTTAAATCGTTTTGTATAGCATATGTACTCTCTGTTTCTTCGCGCTAGCAAGTAAACACGCAGGAATCCTACACGGACGCGGAGAACTTCTCGGGAAGTCCAAGTATGTTCCGTTGATTTTGTAATTGCAACGCATTCAACTCGGAAATATGGTTCCTGGACGCATTCCACCCAGTACCGTCGGAATTGCTCGAAGTGTGCAACCGCCGCGTATAATTCGAATATTCGATAATAATATTGCAGCTGTGGTAATTATTCCAAAATGGGATTTCTCGAGTATCCGCATGCTTGAATTGCGAATATTCGGGTTGATAATTATTCTATTACTCCCCAGCAGCAAACAATCTTACAATAGCAATCAATTATCTATAGCGTACAAATTTTGAAAGCGATTAAATTGTAACTACATAAATTAAATTGCGATTGCTAATAAAAAAATATTATTTGTAATTGAATATTCGCTCTAATTTTCTCAAATTGAGATCAAGTGTTCTAAAAGACGGTTAACTTAATATACTATTGATAATTATTTCAACTGTAATATTCGATCTAATTTTCTCAAATTGAGATCGAGTGTTCTAAAAGATGGTTAACTTAATACTATCGATAATTATTTCAACTATAAATATCTGGGATTTTTTTTCAAAGCGTGGAATAATTATGCGATTGCCTTTTGAGCATTCGAATATTCGACGGCAATTCTGATCCTAACACCAACGTACGATAGTAGACCGAAGCTTTAATTAATTAGCGCTTGCCTTCGCACTTGTCGTTTCCAACTTTCAAATCGTGCGTTTTTCATTCGAAGATCAAAAAAAGAAAAGAAAGATTTCACACACACACACACACACACACACACACACACACACACACATCCATTATGTATATATATATATATATATATATATATATATATATGTATATATATAAGAATGGACGATCCTTCGATAAAGTGTGAATGAGAGTCCTTACAAAAACACGAATGTGATCAGAATCTTTTGTTTTAATATTTAAATGTGCTATATTGAGCATAAAACAAGAAACTGTCACTTTATAAGTTGCAACAGTTTCATTTGTGAAACGGAATAACTTCTGCAGGGTTGAAATCGATCGATAAATCAAACTTTTAATTGTTTCCCCCCTGCAGAACTTGATCCGGATTTATTTACAATATGTCAAATTAAGTGGTTTTCCAAATTTCTGAAAATTTTTAAGAAATATTCGTAATTTTAAATACGCAAAAAGCAATATGTTGAATATTTGACGTAATAAAACGTTCATATCTAAATATAGTAAGCAAATAGTACATATTATTTTAATAATATGAACTAATTGCCTACTGCTGCCTAAATAATTATATATAATTTCTTTAGTTAATAAAGTGTATAGTGCAGTCGCGTTGAGATAACTGATTTCAAAACGCGTGGAAAAATCACTTTAAAATATTCTAAAAAATTTTGTTAATATGTAATTGCTAATAATAGAATATACATTTCTTTATTAAAAGAATTAAATCAAAGTCGATTGAAAAAATTTAGATTGAGAAAAACGGCGTCGCTTTTATCGATAAAATTGTCTGACGATAGTTAAGTGTTGCAATTTTTGCACGACTATGATACGATCTATTAGATAATCAGATCTGATCGGATGTAACTGAAAAGCATCTGAATGCAATTTTCTTTTAAAAAGGAAATTATTATTATTTCATCATACTTCAATTCTTTCTATAAATGTAATGTAATATTTTTTCAAAACTTTTTCAACTATTTAGAACAATATTCGTAAACAAAATTTGTTATATATTTCTTTAATATTTTTTTTATATGAAGAAATAATAACTAAAATGAATTAATGTCAGTGATATTAAAATTGTCAAAAATTATTTAAGAAGTGGTTAAAATTCTAGACAAATGTAAGCAAAATCTACGTATGTAAGGGATGCCGTTTTTCTATGCGGGTTTTTTAATTTTCAGATTTAACTCGAGTCGGTGTACCTATCGTAGAAAGATAGAGACAAGCACATAAAAATTGGTCTCGAATTCGCTTTTTAGAACGTCACAGCTGACGAAAATTACTATCCGTGTCGATTTGATTGTAGAAGAAAAGCGATAAACACAATCAGACGTTCGTATTTGATTTCGAGCACCGTACAAGCACATATACATCGAAGTTGTTTCTTATTACTTTGAGTATATACAGGATGAGCTGTTTAAACGATAATACGGAGGTCAAATAAAAATATTATAGACAAAATAGAAAATTAAAACTATGAAATTCATAGAAAGGAATATATTTAAAAGCTATTTAAAATTAATAAAAATAATTGATAAAGAAATAAAAATACTCCACGTTCTCGTTAAAATAGCTTGTCCTACGTCCCTCGATGTAATTCTGCGCGAAAATAGTTTACCTGAAATTCTACGAATTTCAACCCTTTCGCCAGTTTCGTTTATCGGAGACATTCATGAATGAATGACGAAGAAATTTCCATGCTCTGCAAATTTACGCAGTTTGCACAAGATTACAGTTTGCACAATTTACTTGTATTTAAAATATATACCGTTAAAAAAAACGAAACATTCAAGGTGA